ACTGCGGGATTCAGGGGACTCATGCCAGCCATAATTTTGGGCCAGGGTGGCCAGATGCCAGCCTGGGGGCCACGCTTTGCCAGTCCTCAACTCCCCGACCAGACAGCAGCATGGGAGCACCGGTAAAGGTTCTTCTCATGGTTCACCTGGAGCCGGCCACCTCATCTCCCACGGCTGCTTGATAACGTTATGCGACGCACGCACTGTGCAATGCACGTCCTCCCCTGTGCACGTGGGCTAATACAGAGACAGCAGAAATAGATTCAGATTCTGCTGTGGCGCCCAGTGCTCCATCTGCTCTGCTGCGTTTTTCAGTCTTGCTGCAGGTTTTCTACAGCTTCTCTGTGTTGGGGGCTGCGATGCCCCTAGTATGGAGGGGGTGGAGGGAGTTGATATGCTAAATTCATAAATACTATCACAGCACTCACAAGCGTCCCAACACTGGGGCTGCCGTAAAGAGAGAAGGTGGAGCAATGTGGGGAGGAAGCTGATTGCACACAGAGCTTCTTTAAGCCTTAGCAAGCTGATGGCAAGAAAACAAACTTGGCGGTTGATCTGCCCCAGTGACTCACTGCTGCCAGTTCCTCCACTAAAAGCAGCACTCAGTAGTTCTTAGGCCAAGAGCTCTCCTGAATCCTTGATGTATCCTTTCACAAGAACCAGATTTGCCTCTTAATGAGCGTATCTCAATCTTTGGGGAGAACAGCAAAGCCCTGAGGATAAAATTCAGCAGGCATCAAGGTAGGTCTGCGCTGGCTCCGCGGTGCATTGTGCCGTCTCCGGGAAGCGTTCTGAGAGATGGTGTGATTTTACCGCAGGATCTTTCCTTGCCTTCGAAAACCTCATGAAAAAGAATAGACATCAGTTTCTCTCCTTGCAGGTCCAAAGCATCTCCCCAGTGCTGCAGCCTTGGACTTGCCCTGGCAGTACCAAGTAACCTGGCCCAGCTTAGGTCTAGTGTAGGGGTGCCCCAAAGTGTCCCTTGTTCCAGGGCCAAATGCAGCGTTACCCAGTAGGAGACAAATCAGGCAGCTGCACTCTTCCACTGGCATGGCCCATCATGGCTGCATGTCCCGGGTATGTGACATCCTCTCCATGTGCACTCCACGTGTATTGACCTTGGCAACAGCACCCAAACGCGTCTCCCTCATCCCACATCCCCTATAAGGTGCAGCTAGGCAGGCTACCTCCTGCTGGCTAAAGAAGTAGAAAGGAGCCCAGGCAATCAAACCTTTCAAAAGTAATTTTATAAAGAACATTTATATTCAGTAGTACAAAACGATGGATAATGACCCCTCCCGAACGCGTCACCCGCAGAGGCGCGGCAAGACTGCATACAGAAACACGACAGTATACGGGACATGTACTTCAAACGCCAAATTAACTCAAGGTTTCAGAGACAAACCATCTTCAGCAAATAGGAATTTGAAGGACAATGCAGATGCTCTCCTCCCAGAGCATGCCCTGGAATCACCCGCACTGGAACCACTTTTTCCCCTCTGAAATTATCCTGTGTATTTTGACTGAAACCTAAGACGAGCACCTACAAGCTCAGATCAAAGCTCTCAGTCACACCTCAGGTGAACTGAGTGGATTGCCGAAAACTCTCTTGTCCTTCTTGTCCCCTTGCCTTTTAATTTTAAACACGTGTGCCACCTCCTCAAATCAGGCATTTCCTTGGTCCATGCCCCCCCGCCCCCACTTAGCATTGGCCCTTACTGGGCACATAGAGGGACGTGTCTGCATGGCCTGGGCAGTCTAAGTCTCTGCACACATTACAGTCAATCTGTTAATGCTTTGGTTTCATAGATTAATTGATCTATAAAACAGAAATTCACGTCATACTAATTTAACTCTTTTAAGCAATTACAGAATCCAAAGTCTAAGACTACATAGGGTATAAAATATAGGGCGTCTAAACAAACTGAACCAGAACTGCGTCATGACCTCATGGACTACTGCTTTAAACTTGCTGCTCTCGATAGGTCTAGGCAAAGGCTCTAGAGTTAGGCGGCCACATTAAAGCATCTCTCAGCAGATCTTCTCCAGATCCTTTTTCCTCTGAGGACAGGGGAAATATATTCCCTTCTTGCCACGAGCTGACTCTGTAAACATTTCCCACTGGGCCAATCACACTAGGTGAAAACATGAGAACTTAATCAGTGTTGCCTTCTAGACCATCTAGACCTCCCTTCTTCTGACTGTGATTACTTCCAGGACAGGTTTAAAGGATTACCTGACAGTTGAGACACAGCTGCCTGGATTTTCCAGCTCTTCCAACTACGCTTTGGGTGGGTACTCCCTCCAGCCTGGGCTTTGGAGTTCCCACCTTTGTGGCAATAATGCTGACAACAGAAGGGACTGAGATCCATACCATTACAGAACTGGTCATACGGCACACAGCAGCATTTCCTTTGAGAAGAAAATGTTTTCTCCTGTGTCTTTCCAAAGGTTTCATTCCACTACGCTCAGTTTTAATTTTCTGAGTGTGCACGGGGCACCCATCTTCTCAAAAGAGGTGTCCCTGTATTAAGATTGAGAGTCTCACACTTATTAGCCATAATCAGTGGCAATGGGCCAGGCCCTCCAGAGGCTGATCAAAGCTAAACAGGTTCCTATCAAACAACATTAGGTGGTTAAGACTTGACATTGCCAGAGTTTATCCACCTTTTTTTTTTTTTTTAAAGTATTTTTCAAGATTAACACATGTAACAACTATGGTACAGTCTAATAGAAGTCAAAGCACTTTGATCCCTTTCTATCTGCCTCAAGGCTACAACCTATAGTAAGCTTTTATTGAAGAAAGACCAAAAACTTCCTTCAAATATCACTGACCATAAACATTTCTGTTTACAGGAAGCAGGAATTCAGCTACGACACTGCAATTGCGTTCCATTTTATCTACACAAGGAGCAAAACTGTTTCTACAGGCGGTGGACTGGATTCACTACAGACCAGAGGAGAAGCGGGTGCACGGTAGCTATCTTTCCTTGACATGGCCGTTGGTGAGGTGGGCTCTGTTGTTCAGTGGCTCAGACCCATTCCTCTGGATGTAATTGTTGCTCGTGACGTTGCTGAAATACGTGATCCCATTCTTCTCCTTTTCCCTAATCTTTTCTCTTTCTTCATCCTTGTCGCTTTCTTCCGTGTCACTTCTCATGTCCTTTTCCATCTACAGAAAATGAGAAGCAATACAAACATAGGCGTCTGCACAAGAAGCGGCGCTAGCTGAGCCACAGGCTAAGCATTCATCTGCTACTTCAGCCACTCGCCCTTGGCACATTCTACCATGTCCTTTCAGCTTTTGCATCGCCTTTGGAAACAGATTCTCTCTGGCTCTTTGATTGCAGCCTCAGTGCAATCCTAGCTGTGATCCCGATAACCATTAGGAATTACTGCGCAGGTTGCAGCACCAAACCACAGATGCCCAGGACTGAGGACAACCGTGGAAGCCTGAGGAGATCCACATGGCTGCTTTGGGCACCAGCATGTGGAAGAAGGATGGGGGAGGCAGTTAGTCAAGCTCTTTTACTTTTTCCAAAAGGGACAGGGTGATAGCTTCTGCCTCACGTGGCCTGGGTGGCTGCAGGTTGAGCACACTGCTTTGGACAGTCTGAGAGCATACGCTCAACACAAAGCCACTCAACCCTGATTACATTCAGTTTTATGTTCAGGTTTTTCCTCTTGCTATTGACCAAGAGATCTGTAATCCACTTTTGGTAAATATCTAATTCACTGCTTTAAGAGGAAGACAAAGAAGAAACAATGTGATAAAATGACAGTTTAGAGAAAGCAGCCTAGCACTTGCTGGCTTCCCAGACTCTTTCTACTCTGCAACACAAGATGTCAAAATCAGGAGCAAATTTGTGGTGTCGCACTCCTTGTTGGCAAGAGGGCTCTGAGGGAAAGCAGCAAACCCCTTCTGTGACCTGAGCTCTGGAAACTGTTCCAGGGCCCATCGGTTGCTGCACAGACACCTGTAGTCTCCATTTACTCTGTCTGTTCTTCTGGGGAAATCTCTTGGATCATATTTTCTACAGATCACTACGCCCAAACGGAGCTGGGATTTGTAAGAATCTAAACTTGCACTGAATTCAAACTGCCTCCAAGGACAATATGGGCAGGAGATGCTATCTTCTGTGAACAACCTGGACCTCATGTCATGCTGGAACTGGCAGTTCAGGAGCTACGCAGGAGTCTTGATCTGCAGCGTAAGGACAAATAGTAATCAATACTCCTAGGTTTATCCATTCATGGCCATAGAATGTGGCTGAGGCCTTAAACCCAGCACGGTTCACAAAGGAACTATATAGCTGCATGAATTACAACGATGTCTCTCGGGTTGCCTGTACGAGGGAATGAGACTCGTGCTTCAGGATCTAGGCTGAGCTCTAATTAGCGGGGATTAGGAGACATCAGGTGAGAAGGTGGTGCTGATAATCACGTAGTCAGAGAGGAAAACTGCGGAGATCAGAAAGGCCCATGAGAAGTGTATGAACTTCTGACTGGAGTGAGAATTTCAGGGCTCTCAAAAAGAACGTCCTGTGTTCTTGCCAATACTGCTTTGGGCTACTAAATATCATCATCGAAACAGACCCATTTAGGACGATTTTTCTTTGCCATTCACTGTTCGATATGAAAAGTTCTCAAATACATTTTTGCACTGAATGCAGCAGATGATTTTTAGATAAAATAGGAAAAGTTCTGGGTATGCTTCAGCATTTTTCTCCCTGATGGTTCGTTTCTTTCTAATAAGGCTATTTACTACCTCATCATTTTACACTGGTGGTAACTGCAATGGTAATTCAGCCCACGCTAGAATTAGGAAAACAATAAAAGGGCGTCTTCAGCTGCAACTTCACTTTCTGCCCTGTGTGAAGTTTCTGTTTCCTAATTTGCAACTAATTTGCTCTGTGCTACCTTAAGGGAAGGCAGATAAAGAAAATGGGGACGCTACAGATGAAGATGAGCCTTTAATGCTTGTTCTCCGTTCCCACAAGGCAGAATTCCCCAGTTGGATGCTAACAAAACAACTCATCCTGGGCTACGAGGTCAACTCCCACAAGGCACTGACTTATTACTCCTGGACTGTGTCCTTGGCACGTGGCCAGTCTAATGCCATTAGGTCATGTCTTTGGTTTTGGGAAGAATTTCATGCTGAGCAGCAGTTTGGTCTCACAGCAACTGCTACAGGCTATGGTCAGAAGCAGCGGGATGCATTTCACTTGAGTTCATACCGCTGCACCTCAGATGTTCATCTAGGGTTGCTCTATGACTGACAGATGAGCAGCACTACCTGGCTGCGATCTTGAATGGATTATGCTCTGGGCGTGCCTGTAACTGCTACGAAGAGTCCAGACAGCTGGTTTAGACAGAAGGATCTACTCTGTAGATATCCTGCTGTAGATGTCCTACAGCACTGTGAGATAATCCAGACAAAACATGTATTAATGATCCAGATGATGGGGCAGAGTGCACCCTAAGCGAGTTTGCTGCAGACACAAAACTGGTATGAGTGGCTGATATCACAGGATCACAGAATCCCAGACTGGCAGGGGTTGGCAGGGCCCTCCGGAGCTCACCCAGTGCCACCCCCCTGCTCAAGCAGGCTCACCCAGAGCAGGGGGCACAGGACAGCGTCCAGGCGGGGGTTGAAGATCTCCAGAGAAGGAGACTCCACAGCCCCCCCCCGGGCAGCCTGGGCCAGGGCTCGGGCACCCTCACAGTCAACAAGTTCTTCCTCCCGTTCAACTGGAACCTCTTCTGCTTCAGTTTGTGCCCATGGCCCCTTGTCCTGGCGCTGGGCACCACTGGGAAGAGTCTGGCTCCGTCCTTGTGACCCCCACCCTTGAGATATTTGTAGGTTGTTGATGAGATGCCCTCAGCCTTTTCTTCTCCAGGCTGAACAAGCCCAGCTCTGTCAGCCTTTCCTCGTAGGGGAGATGCTCCAGTCCCTCATCATCTCTGTTGCCCTCCTCTGGACTCACTCCAGTAGGAGAGAGGGTGGCTCCCAGAGGATCGTGCTGCCATCCAGAGGGACCTTGACAGGCTGGAGAAGTGGGCTAACAGGAACCTTGGGAATTTCAACATGGGGAAGTGTGAAGTCCTGTACCTGGGGAGGAATAACTCCATGCACCAGTACATGCTGGGGGCTGACCAGCTTTTCTAGGAAAAACCTGGAGGTCCTGGCAGGCACCAGGTTGAACATGAGCCAGAAATGTGCCCTTGCCCTCGCTGGCCTGCATTAGGAGGAGTCTTGCCAGCGGGTTGAGGGAGGTGATCCCTCCCCTCTGCTCAGCACTGGTGAGGCCATGCCTGACGTGCTGTGCCCAGTCCTGGGCTCCTCTGTATGAAAGAGACATGGCCAGAGAGTATCCAGCGAAGGACTGCAAAGATGAGGAAGGGACTGGAGCACCTCACATATGAGGAAAGGCTGAGGGAGCTGGGACTGTTTAGCCTGGAGAAGGGAAGGCTCAGGGGGATGTTATCAATGGTATTAATACCTGAAGGACGGGTGTAAAGAAGATGGAGCCAGGCTATTCTCAGTAGTACCCAGTGACAGCACAAGAGGCAATGGAATCTGAACATCAGGAAACACTGAGAGGGTGACCAAGCACTGGCACAGGTTGCCCAGAGAGGTTGTGGGGTTTCTGTCCTTGGAGATATTCAGAAGCTGACTGGACGTGGTCCTGGGCACCCTACTCTAGGTGACCTTCCTTGAGCCAGGGAATATTGACAAGACTTCCAGAGGTACCTTCCAACCTCAGCCATTCTGGGATCTCAGTAACACTGTAATTAAAAATCCTGTACTATAAGGGAAGCACTTTTGCACTGGCCTCACCAATCATGACAACTTTCCCTGCCTTGATTTCTTAGTTTTGTTACAAATGCAAATCATACTGGATCAAGTGTTGGGATCCTTACTCAGATGTCACTGGCTTTGTTCATGGAAGTCTCCCCTGGAGTCCAATCCACATTTTTCTTGAATACAAGCATCAGAAGTGCACCCAATATTGTAGTGACTCATAAAAATGTTACTTTTTTTGAACAACTTTCCCTAATAATATTAAGTGTTCCTTTCACCTCGCTGCTAGGAATGTACATTTACGATATATAATTTCAGTAGGGCAAGAAGGACTCCATCCCAGATGAACCCCTGTGCTCCCAAGCAGTCTAGGTGGACCCTCCCTCCCCACGTGATGTACAAGGGACTATAAACTGATCCATACCGTGCCCTGGAGGATGAACTTGTAGACCATGTGAATAATTAGGCAGGACCAGAAGACATGGAGCAGCTGCAGAGTTATCAGGAGAGCATTCACGAAGTAATATCCAAAGAAGGGTTCGAATATCTCCATGGAGTAATAGTAGGTGTTATAGAGCACTCTGCAAGAGAGAGGGAATTGCAGTGGAAAGCGTGTTGTTAGTAGGGCTGTAATTAAGCCCCCGGAAGCTCTAGTCACAGAGGAAGCTTCAGGTCAGTCACTTCCTTCTTCTATATAACACATGCAAGCCCACTCTCAGTTCCCCACCAGAAATAAGCAGGGTAGCGCTGCCGAGCCCTACCAGAGGAGGCCGAGGACCCCTCCTCTGCAGCATACTTTAGGGCTTTAAGACCACTCTATGAACTCCAAGGCAGACCACCCTAGTTTACCCCAAGGCAGGTGCAACAGCCATGTGGCACTGCAGCCCATGCAAAGGGCAGGGGCATACACTCAAGGATTGAAAAGCAAAGGCTGCAGCAAAAGCTTCAGCACCCAGCTGAATTATCCCGTCTCTCAGAAGGCAGCTTTTCCATTTCCCTTGATTGCAGCAGACTCACGTGTAGGGGAAAATGACCAGGCGGCTGATGAGGAAAACAGCTGAGAAGATCATAAAGAGGCTGTCACAAGTTTTTTTCCACTTCATGTAATTGAATATCTTAGTTGGCTGGAAGGAGAAAGAACAATAAAACAGCAGGCCAAGACAGTGCATCTGCACATGCTCCAGGAGGCTAACGGGCCAGATACGATACGATCTGCATGCAGGCAATCGTGCCTCTTCCTGGTGCTCGGCAGGGCACCCTAGGCTGGGTCAGGAGATCAGTACTCTGTGAAACACCATAATGCTTGGCCTGAACTGTGCTAGATCAAACAACGCCCTTCGGCTGAAGAGCACCGTGGCTAACTAGGCTTTGCCTGGCATGTAAGTTGTGGAGCTCACCTCTAGGAAGCAATCAGAAGCGTCATGAATCACCATCACCAGCGTCCCAATGCGGATGTAATTGGCACAGTATGAGAAACTGATCAGGAAGATGGTCGCAGCATGATGGACTATCTGCTCCTTGAAGTCCTGATGAGAAACGTGACAGCAGAGAACAGAATACATAATCACAGAATCACAGAATGGTTTAGGCTGGAAAAGCCCTTTCAGCTTCCCTAGCCCAACCGCTCCCCTACCCCTGCCATCCCACCCCCAAACCCTGGCCCTCAGCACCTCGGCTGCCCGGCTGTTAAATCCCCCCAACGCGGGGGGCT